CAGCAGCAGCGGTTACTGCAGCAGCAGCAGCAGCAGAAATTCTGCTGCTGCTGCTGCTGCTGCTGCTGCTGATAATGATGCTTGCGCCGCCGCTAAGCCGCTGCCGCTGCTTCCGCTGTTGGCAACGGTGCTGCTGCTGCAGTTGCTGCAGCTACTACTAACACCAATGCAGCTGCCGCCGCAGCTGCTGCTGCTGCTGCTGCTGCTGCTGCTTTCCAGTGCGTCGCCTTCGTGCATCTGCCTCCGCACTATGAGAGCACAGCGGCCCAACAAATGAATAAATAAATAAATAAATAAAACAAAATAAATTACAATTAATCAATTAATTAATTAATAATAATCACGAATGAATGGCATGGGTGTTTGCTGCTTGCTGCGGTGTGGGGCGCAGCATCCCGGCTTCGCGCTGCTCTGCTGCTGGTGCTGCTGCTTACTTTTCGCTGCTTTGCTGCAGAGAAGCAGAAATGAGCAGCAACTTGCAGCAGCAGGAAGCAGCAAATCTGAATAGGCTGCGGCTGGGGCTTTCCAACGGCATAACTCGCACTGTGTCTTGCTACGACTTCCCCGCTGCTGCTGCTGCTGCTGCTGCTGCTGCCGCCGCCGCCAAGGCGGAGCAGCGCGCTGCAGCGGCCAAACAACGAGGCAGGCAGCAGCAGCAGCAGCAGCAGCACAGCACCCTCGGCGCAGCAGTTTCCGGCTTTTTTCAGTGGCTTGCTGCGCCGGCGGAAGCTGCTCATGCACACCAGCAGCAGCAGCAGCAGCAGCAGCGGCAGGACAGCCGAGGCAAGCAACAGCCGCAGCAGGAGAAAGAGCCGCAGCACAACAGCTTTGACAAGCAGCAGCAAACGCAGCAGCAGCAGCAGCAGCAGCGGCAACAAGCAGCCTTCCCATGAGGCGCGGCGCAGCTGTGCAGCCGCCTGCTGCTGCTGCTGCTTTAGACACCTTCGCAAACCAGCAGCAGCATCAGCAGCAGCAGCAGCAGATGCTGCTGCAGCAGCAGCAGCGGCTAGACGCTGCGCTGCAAAACGAAACCCTTCAGCTGGTTCCAGCCCTCCAGCTAGCAAGCTAGCCAATTAGCCCCTGGCTAGCCACGCAGCTAGCTAGCTAGCTAGCTAGCTAGCTAGCTAGCTGAGGGCAGCAAACTCCGCAGCCGCTTGCTGCCCCCACAAACAGCTAGCTCGCGCAGCAGCTACACCCAATGGCTAGCTAACTAGACAGCCAGCTAGCTAGCTAGCCAGCCAGGCAGCTAGCCAGATAGCTAGCTACTGGCTAGCTAGCTAGCCAGCTTGCCAGCTAGCTACTAGCTAGCTGCTTACATACCCGGCGAGCCAGCCGTCCAGGTGCCTAGCTAGGAAACCGCATACGGCTAGCTAGCTAGCTAGCTAGCTGCTAGCTAGCTGCCAGCTAGCCGGCTGGCTAGCTATCAGCTAGCTAGCTGGCTAGCTGCTGGCTTGCTAGCCAGGTGCTAGCTAGCTAGCCAGCTAGCTAGCTGTTAGCTAGCTACATGAGCGCAGCAAATCTAACTCAGCAGCAGTTCTGAGCCAAGAGGCTCTAAAAGAGGGCCCCCAGCTAGCTAGCTAGCTGCTGGCTAGCTAGCCAGCTAGCTGCCAGATAGCTAGCTGCTAGCTAGCTAGCCAGCTAGATGCTAGCTAGCTAGCTGCCTGGCTAGCGGGCGGCTTGGCTAGCTAGCCAGCTGTGCACTTTGACAAAGGCGCCCACCTCTAGGCAGCAGCAGCTATTGCTGCTGCTGTTGCTGCTGCTGCTGCTGCTCAAGCTGTCCGCAGTAGCGACTCCCTAGATCTCTTGCTTTACTCGAGCTCCCTCCATATTAAGCTGCTGCTGCTGCTGCTGCTGCCCGTGCTGCTGCTGCTGCTGCTCGTGCTGCTGCAGCGTGAAGGCCGTGGACTTGGCAATTGCTGCAGCAAATGAGTGTGGAAAAAGCTGCGCTGCTGCAGCAGCAGAAAACCAGCTGCAAGCCAGCAGCCCTGCTCGGCCCCACGGCGGCAGCCAGGAGCCGCTGTCGCTGCTGCTGCTGCTGCTGCTGCTGCCGCTGCTGCTGCTGCTGCTGCTGACGAAGCCGTTGCTCAGCACACAAGAGCTGCGCACGAAGCGGCCCCCAGGTCCCCGCGGTTGGTAGTTTGTGTGGCAGTGCTGCTGCTGCTGCTGCTGCTGCTGCTTGCTGCTCTGCTGCTGCAGCTGCAGCTTGCTGCTCTGCTGCTGCTTTGCTGGCCGTTCTTGCTTAGCAAGAGCCCCTCCCTGGTGCTGCTGCTGCTCTTGCTGCTGCTGCTCCCTCTGGGGCTCTTCAGAAAGCTGCTGCAGCTGCAGTTCTTGTAGCTGCTGCTGGAGCAGCAGCAGCAGCTGCCGGTTCGCTTCCGATAGCACTGGCTGTTGCTGCTGCTGCTGCAGCAGCACCTCTAGGTGCTGCTGCAGCGCCTCAGGAGCAAACGTTGCCTGTACGTACAGCCCGTTGCTGCAGTTCCCTCCAATTGCTTGAATGCTGCTGCTGCTGCTGCTGCTGCTGCTGTGCGGCAGTCCCAATGTGATCCTCATGATGACAATCTTTGCTGCTGCTTCTGCTGCTGCTGAGGGGAGCGGGCAGGCAGAGTTTTGCAGCCAGGAAGTTGCTGCTGCAGCAGGCGAGGGGTCCTGCTGCTGCTGCTGCTGCTGCTGCTGTTGCTGCTGCTGCTGCCTTTCCTGGGCGTACTGCTGCTCCTGCTGCAGCAGCAAAGCCTCCGTCAACAGCCGCCGCTTGGCCGTGGCTAGCTCTTGCTGCTGCTGCTGCAGCAGCTTGCGCTTCTTAGCAATGCTTTGCTGCCTCCGCAGCCGCCTCCGCCGCAGCAGCCGGGTGCTGCTGCTGCTGCTGCTGCTGCTCTTCTTCTTGCTCGAGGAGCAACGCACTGGGCTGCTGCTGCGGCTGCTGCTGCAGCTAAGGGACTTTCCAGACGCAGCAGAAGCTGCTGCTGCTGGGAACTCGAGGCTCAGGGAATGCGCTGCTTCTTCTGCTGCTGCTGCTGCTGCTGCTCTGCCAGCTGTGGCTGCAGCAGCAGCTGCTGCTGCTGACGTCTCAGCAACTGAGTAGGAGTCCTCAGCATCTCCACTTCTTGCTGCCAAGCTGCTGCTGCTGCTGCTCGCGGTGCTGCAGAACTCTACAACTTTGCGGCAGGCATCAGATGGCGGCCGCTGCTGCTGCTCGTGCTGCTGCCGTTGCTGCTGTTGCTGGTGTTGCTGCTGCTGTTGCTGTTGCTGTTGCTGCTGCTGCTTTCGTTTGTCCGTCGAGGAGATCTGCTCTTGCCTCTTAGCGGCGCGGCTCAGCGGCAACTGCTGTTGCTGCTGCTGCTGCTTCTGTAGCAGCTGGCGCTGCTGCAGCAGTAGCTGCTGCTGCAGCAGCTGCGATAGAGCTGTGTCCCTCAGCCGCAAGACCACCCGCAGATCCGGGGTCTTGCTGCTGCTGCTGCCGCTGAAGGGTGCATTGGTTTGCTGCTTGTTCTGCTGCTGCTGCTGCTGCAGCTGCGGAATGCGCGGCTGCTGCCGCGAGTCAAAGAGGGCCTGCCACTGCAGCAGACAAGCCCATGCTGTTGCTGCTGCTTGCTGCAACTGCTGCTGTGCTGCTGCTGTCCACGGCCTCCGGTGCTGCAGTTGCTTCTGCTGCTGCTGCTGCTGTTGCTGCCGCTGCCCGTAGGGCCAAGGCAGGTTGAGCAGCTGGAGGGCGTCTACGGGCAGCGGCGGCTCTTCGGCTTGCTGCAGTTGCTGCTGCTGCTGCTGCTGACGCATTTAAGCTCCAAGAAGGGACAAGACGGAGAGCAGCAGCAGCAGCAGTTATCGATCCCTCGGAGCTTGGTGGCGGTGGTGGCCGTGGCTAGCGCCCTGCAGCTGCTGCTGCAAGTCCTGCTGCTGCTGCTGCTGCTGCAACTGCTGCTGTTGCTGCTGCAACTACTGCTGTTGCTGCTGCTGCTGGCGACGCGGGCCCTTCGCCCCAGCAAGGGGGCGGTTATCTGCATTAGGTGCGGCTGAGTTTGCTGCTGCGCCGCTGAGTGCTGCAGCAGCAACGGCAGCAGCAGCAGCAGCAGCTCGCGAGCAGCAGAGTCCCTAAATAAAAGAAACAGCTGCTGTCACTTATCTAAGTGTGCTGACATCAGCAGCAAAGGAGGTCTCTGCTGCTGCGCCACATGCAGCAGCAGCAGCAACAGCTGCTGCTGCTGCTGCATGCAGTGCCGCAGCCGCCACTCCCATGGCTGCCGCCTGTCAGCCCCGACGGAATTAAGGTGAATTAAGAAAAGATAGACTGTTTTGAAGAGCAGCAGCAATAACAACAGCAGCAGCAGCAGCAGCAACAACAGCAGCAGCTGTTGCTGCTCCGGCTGCGCTGCGCTCCAGCATCGCGGTGTCTCGGGGAGAGAAGGGGCTTGCTGCTGCCTGCAGCAGCAGCAGCAGCAGCTTTAGCAGCAGCACCAAGAAAGTCGGCACTAGTTGCTGCAGCAGCAAACCCGCACGCACATTACCAGAAGCAGCAGCAGCAGCAGCACCAGTTGCGCTGCAGCATCCGTATTAAGGACGCGTTTGAAGGCAGCAGAAGCGGCAGTATAGCAGCGCTCATGCAGCAGCAGCAGCAGCAGCAGCGGCGCCCTCCTGTTGCTGCTGGCAGCAGCAGCAGAAGGGCAGCAGCGGTCTCGAGTGGCAACCGCAGCGGTAGCGCCTCTGCAGCAGCAGCAACTCAGCAGCAACAGCAGCAGCAGCAGCGAAGATCACTGCAGCGCAAAAGGCAGCAAACCTTCCATGTCTCGGACATACCAGAGGCTGTGAGTACTAATCCTGCTGCTGCTGCGGCTGCTGCTGCTGCTGCTGCTGCTGTGAACTCAAGTATTACTGTTGATTCAGCTGCTTATCTCGTTCCTTCTGCTGCTGCTAGGCGTTCTCCTGCTGCTGCGTCCTTTGCTGCTGTTCCGCCGCCTCATTCCGCTTTGCTGCTGCTGCTGCTGCTGCTTGTGTCCTAGGCACTTGCTGCGTACCCGTCGCTGGCACGCGAGCTGCTGCTGCTGCAGCAGGCAGAAGCAGAAATAGAAAAGGGGACGGAGCAGCTAACAGCAACCCTGAGAGACACAGTAAACCCCTGTTTAACAGCAAACGCCAATAGGCAGGTGGGTTGCTGCTGCTGCTGCTGCTGCTGCTGCTGCTGCTGCGGCTGTTGGGGCTGCTGGTGTTGCGCCGGCTGCTGCTGCTGCTGTTGCTGCTTGTCGCGGAGCTGATCATGCGGGTGCTGCTGCTGCTCCCCGTGTTGCTGCTGCTCTTTGTGAGGTTGACCGTGCTGCTGCTGCTGCTGCTGCTCAGCGTGTTGCTGCTGCTGCTAGTGTGCGGGGTGCTGCTGCTTCTGCTGCTGCTACTGCATACACTGCTGCGCTGAGGCGCTTCTGCAGCTGCTGCTGGCTGTGTTGGCACTGCTGCTTTGAATGGTGCTGCTACTGCTCGTGCTGCTGCTGCTGAGCCCCCGCAGATAGCGCTGCAGCAGCAGCAGCTGCTGCTGCTGCTGCTGCTGCGCAAGCATTTCTGTACTTTATTCTCTACTGTCTTTACACTTCTGCCTCCGCTGCTGCAGTCTATTTTCATTCCATTTATTATTTATTTATTTATTTATTAAATTAATTAATTTTAAATTAATTTATTTTTTTGCAGGCGCTGCCACTGCAGCTGTCTCGTTCGCGGCTGCGGCTTTTTGTTTATAACACGCACGCAAATCAACCTGCTGCTGCTGCTGCTGCTGCTGCTGCGGACTTGCATGCGCCGCACTTCCAGCGGCCCCCGGCGAACCAGCTGCAGCCTCCTGCTGCAGCTGCAGTTGCTGCTGCGGCAGCCGCAGCGGCAGCAGCGCCGCAGCAGCAGCAGCAGCAGCAGCAGCAGCTAAATGCCCTCCCTCAACCAACACTTACTTCTTTGCTGCACGAGCCGCCGCCTTCTTGGTCTCTCTACATAAAGGGACAGTCTCTAGACAAACAGGTTTGCTGCTGCTGTTGCTGCTACTGCTGCTGCTGCTGTTGCTGCTGCTGCTGCTGCTGCCGGTGTTGCTGCTGCTGCTGGGGCGGCGTAATCACGCCTACGTCTGTGTATAGGCAGCTGGAGAGTCTTTTTATTTGTTCTTGATAAATAAGTAAATGTTTATTATTTATTATTTATTTATTTATTTATGTATTTATTTATTTATTTATTCTGTTTTTATTTATTAACAAGTTGATTATAAGTTGTTGGCGACGAGCGAGTGGCTCGCCGAGTCTGTTTTTGCTGCTGCTTCGTTTTCTGCTGCTGCTTCGTTTGCTGCCGCTGCTCCCTCCCGTGCTGCTGCTTCTCCACCTGCTGCTGTTGCTGCTGCTGCTGCTTCAGTTGCTGCTGCTGCTGCTGTTTTGCTGCTGCTGCTGCTAGTACGTCTCCCATTTTGAGTGCGTTTTCGCCGTTTTGGCCGCTGCTGCCGCGCTTTCTCCGCGGCCGCCCGCTGCTGCTGCTGCTGCTGCTGCTGCAGGAGAGCAGCAGCAGCTGCTTGTCTTCGTTTTTCGAGAAGATCCTGGTGCTTTCGGAAGCAGAAAGTGTTGCCTGGCACTGGGGCGGCGGAGGGCCTGTTGAAGAACTTGTAATTCAGCGCCAAGGCGATAAACCTCTCAGCCTTCAAATCCTCCTTTTCATTCGACACAAACTCCCGGCCTTTGCGGTCTGCTGCTGCTGCTGCTGCTGCTGCGGCTGCTGCTGCGGCTGGGGCTGCGGCTGGGGATGCGGCTGGGGATGCAGCTGGGGTGCTGCGGTTGTTTCTGGGGTGCTGCTGCTGGGGTGCTGCAGGGGTGCTCCTACCGGTACCGCTGCTGCTGCTGCTGTTGCTGCTGCTGCTGTCGCTGCTAGTTGTATTGGGCGGGCTTGTGTTTTTGTAGCTGCTGCTGCTGTTTCTCTGGTGCCGCTGTCACTGATCTTGTTGCGGCTGCCCGCGTGTGCGGCTGCTGCTGCTGCTACTTGAGCTGCAGCAAGATCAACAACCCCGCTGCTGCTGCTGCTGCTGCTGCTCCTGCTGCAGCTGTCCCCTCAACTCTCGGCCGTCTGCGGCGGGCAGCGGCAGCTTTCTCTTTGCGCAGTGCTGCGCTGCATCTTCTCTTATTGCCTCTCAAGGGGTTTGCTGCTGTCGGGCCCCAGCAGCAGCAGCAGCGGCGGCAGCAGCAGCAGCAGCAGCAAGGTTGCGCCCCGCGAAATCCGACTCGCGACGGACGAACAGCTCAGAAAGGTAAGGCCCAGCAGCAACAGCAGCACTCATGTTAGCAGCAGCAGCAGCAGCAGCAGCAGCAAATTGGCTAGGCAGCACTCCTTGATCCAAACTGCTTGTACGGATTGGATTTGTCTTTTAGCGACTAAATAAATGAATAAATAAATAGATTAAATAATAAATAAATAAATAAATAGTAACAAATAAATAGCAAGTAAATAAATAGATAAATAAATAAGTAATAAGACGGTAAATAGACAAAAAACGAACAGCAACGGAGGCAAGAAACGAAGCAGCAAAGCAGCACAGCAGCAGCAGCAGCAGAAGCAGCAGCAGCAGCATCAATTGCGTTTGCTGCTGCAGCTTTTCGGCCCCTCTGTTCGCTCTCTCTCTCTTGCTGATCTCCCGCTGCTGCTGCGGCAGCATTTGCTGCCGCCGCTGCCAGTTGTTATAAAGCACAACCTGAAGTCCGTTTGCTGCTGCTGCTGCTGCTGCTGCTGGTTCTTGCATTTGTTATTTGTTATTATTGAATCTTTTTATATTTTGATCAACTTCAATTTATTATTTTTTGTTCTTCACAGATCAACTGCTGTTTATTGGTTTTCATTTATTGTTTCTCTTGCAGAGTTTGCTGCTGCTGTTATTTATTTAATTTTATCTTAATTAATTTAATTTATTTTAACTATTTATATCATTTATATTTATATTTTTATTTATTTATTTATTTATTATTTATTTATTATTTAACTTTTGCTTCAAAGCTGTTGTTGCTCGGCCGTTCAGGTCTACTGCTCCTGGTGCTGCAGATGCTGCTGCTGCTGCTAGTGCTGCTGCTGCTAATACTGCTGCTGCTGCTGCTGCTAATGCTCCTGATGCTGCGGTTGCTGCTGCTGCTAATGCAGGCTTTCGGGGGATTGGATAGAAAGCGAGCATGCGTATGACTTTTCTTTGGACTGTATAGACACCACCTGCGGCAGCAGCAGCAGCAGCAGCAACAGCGCAGCAGCAGCAGCAGGAGCAGCAGCAACTGCTTGCTGCGTCCTTGGCCTCGACAGCTGGCTCTCCGCGTCGCAGCAGCAAAGCGTGTTTCTGCAGCAGCAGCAAAAGGTGCTAAAGCTGCTGCTGCTGCTGCTAATGGTCCAGCTGCTGCTGAAGCTGAATAACGCTGTGGATACTGATGTTGCTGCTGCTGCTGCTAAAGCGCGATCCGCTAGCTTAGAGTTGCTGCTGCTGCAGCGGCTTCGGCCTATTATTTTGTTTTATATTTCAGCTGCTGGTCTGCCCGCAGCAGCTGCTGCTCGTTTGTTTTCTGCCGTTGCTGCTGCTGCTGCTGCTCGTCCGACGCCAACTGGTGCTGCTGCTGCTGTTGTTGCTGTTGCTGCAGCAGCAACTTTCGTTAGATGCTGAGCTGGAGGCGGTGGAGGGCCACTTGGCTTTGCTGCTGCAGCAAATTTGCTGCCGCGTTTCCCACATGAAGATATACAGCTCTTTGGCAGAAGACCCTAAGCAGGTATTTATTTATTTATTTGTTTTAATCAATTTAATTAATTTAGTTTAATTAAATTAATTAATTAAATTAATTTATTTGGCTTATTTGTTTGCTGCGTGGCTGCGTGGGTGCCGTTGGTCTCGCGGGTTTTGCTGCAGCGGTTGCTGCTGCTGTTGCTGTTGCTGCTGATCTTGCTGCAGCTGCTGCTGCTGCTGCTGCTGCTGCTGCAGTGGCGCTTCCGCGTCCTCCTCGCCAGCCGTCTGGTGCCTTTTATTTGAAATTAATCAAACTGTTTATTATTTATTTTCATTTATTTATTATTTATTATTAATTTATTAATTAATTAATTTATTTATTTATTTGCTGCTGCAGTTCATCCAGCTGCAGCTGGAGTCTTGCCTCCCTGACCACCAGCGCCTCGTGGCGGACAGCAACTGTCTTTTCGAATATGAAGTTTCCCCCAAAAGGGCCAGCTTCTACAACAAGGTGCTGCTGCTGCTGCTGCTGCTGCTCTTGCTGCTGCTGCTGCTGTCGTTGCGGCTCTTGCTGCTGCTGCTGCTGCTTTGCTGGTGCTGCTGCTCTTGCGCCTGCTGCTATTGCTGCTGCTGCTCTTGTTGCTGCCGCTGCTCTTATTGCGGCCGTTGCTGCTGCTGCTGCTGCTCTTGCTGTTGCTGCTGCTGTTGCGCCTGCGGCCCTTGCTGCTGCTGCTCTTGTTGCTGCTGCTGAGGGCGGTGGCGGTGGCGTTGCTGTTGCCGCTGTTGCTTATGGCTGCGTCGACGCTTCTTCCGCACTTTCTGCTGCTGCTGCTGCTGCTGCTTTACTTCTCTCTGTTACTGTGACTGCTTTTTCCGCGGCTTCGTTTGCTGCTGCTGCTGCTGCTGCTCCTTTCCGAAGCGGCGACTAAACTGCTTATCTATTTCCTGCTGCCGTTTCTCGCTGACTGACGGATCGCTTGCCGCAATTTGCTGCTGCTGCTGCTGCTGCTGTTGCTGCTGCTGCAGCCGTGGCTGCCGAGGGCAGTTGGACGATATCTGCAGCGGAAGGCTCTTCCCCTCGACGACCAAATATGGTTCGTGTCTCTATACTTTGCTGTTGCTGCTGCTGTTGCTGCTGCTGCTGCTGTTGCTGCTGCTGTTGCTGTTGCTGCTGCTGTTGCTGCTGCTGCTGCCGTTGCTGCTGCTGCTGCTGTTTCTGCTGCTGCTTAGGGCGGGGGCGGTGGTGCTGCTGCCTCATAGTTGCTGGAAGCAGCAGAAGAGTAAATGCAGTCGAGGCCACTTGGCAGCGAAGCAAATGAAATTAATTAAATAAATTTAACTAATTTACTTTAAATTTATTAATTTAAATAATTAATTCAATTAATTCAACAGAATATATATTCTGTTTATTCCCAGTTGTTGTGCCACAAATGCCCGAATAATAAACAGCAGTTCATGATTCAGATCAGTAGCAGCAGCAGCAGCAGCTGCCGGAGCAGCAGCAGCAGCCGCAGCAGCAGCTGCCGCAGCAGCAGCAGCAGCAACACCGCGAAAGATGGATTTGTTTAGCTGCGCACTATTATTTATTTAGCTATTTATTCATTTACTATCTATTTACTATTTATTTATTTTTATTTATTTTTATTTGTTTATTAATTTATTATTTATTTATCTATTTTTTGCTTTCTGCTGCAGCAAACTCTTCGCTGCTTATGGGCTGCCGGACCCCCGAAAGCGGCAAAGAGAAGTAAATCTTTTTAATTCTTTTTTATTTTTAATTTATTTTTGTTTATTTTCAGTCTATTTTTCTTTATTTTTAATTTCTGTTCTTTTTTGGTTTCCTTTTTCTGCTTCTTTTGTTTCCTTTTTTCTCTCTGTCTCCTGCAATCTCTTTGCGTTTCTCTCACTCTTTTAACTGCTGCTGCTGCTGCTGCGGCTGCTGCTGCTG